CTGCCCGCGCTGCCGCTGCCCGAGCGCCCCGCCGCCTGAACTTGCCGGTGCTTCGGGTGAACTTGCACGGTCTGGCCTCTCAGAGCTGGGGTTTCGCCAGTAAGGTTGTTGCTGTCAGCACGGCGGTCGGTGCTTGGCGTTGCAGAGAGAGGGAACGTGTTATTTACAGAAACCTAATGCGTGACAGGAGAGTGGTGCTCAAGGAACACTTGGACCCTTCAAGTCATACCTGTGGTTCGTTGGTTGGTTGTTGTTTTTAAGTGCAGATTTTACTACATCTGTATTGGAAAATAGTAAGCAGGGCAGGAAAATTTTGAACTTGAATACACTCAGCAAACACGGGTGAAGTGTCTCCCAGGACTCTTTTCCTGTTCTTGTACACAAATCAGGACTTGTTCTGGGTCTCTTTATCAATACTGCCAAGGATACCTTACGTATGTCTCAAAATTATATATATATTTTTATATGTATATGTAAGACCGCCATTATATATATATATATAAAGACTGAACAATCATGACTCAGTATTCTGTGTACCTGTCTGTGTGTGGAGGCTTATGTGCCAGCACCTGGCGTGGTGGTGGTTCAGTAATGGGGCATCACCTTCCCTTCCTCATCAGCACATGCAAATCACATGCGCTGAGTGACCATATATCCCTTCATTGCCTTCATGTACTGCTCTTGGGGTGCAAGGACCTGACCAGAGTGTGTGTAGCCCTTCTCATTTTCCAGGCTTTACCCTTTTGTAGGGCAGTCAGGGAAGACCTGCTCCTGCTGGGATAGGAAGCTCCTGCTGGCACTTTAACACCAACATAGAGACTGTGACCTGAGTCAGTGTTCAGGGCTGCCCCAAATCATATGCTTATCTTCATCCTGAGTTGCACTTGCAGGGGCCAACTAACTATGCCACCAAAAAATTGACCCAATTTGGAGGCAATTGAGGGGAAATGGTCTTGATCAGAACTGAATGGCAGATGTGATTGTATTCTTATATGTGTGTATATATATATATAAATGTTTAAAGTGACATATTTTCTTGTCAGTGAAGATGCAAAAGGTCCCTCCTTGTGTACCTGCCTCTACAAGCACTTTGTGGGTTTGAGTGCTCCATGCTCTGCAGAGCAGTGCAGTAACTGTCTTCACTTGCATTTTGTGGCTCTGCTTCTCTCTTTTCTAAGTAGATTTCCTAACGTTCCAGGAAAACTTCCGTTTTGGCCAAGGCAACAGACATGGACTGAATATGAGGAAGTTCTTCTGCGCGCAGCTCCTTTGGCACAAGGGCTAAAATAGTGGCACTATGAGGAGTAGCAACAGTTACTGACAGCTGCACAAAGACCGCTGAGCTCTGCATCTTGGCACATGTGACCTGTTCAAGAGCATGGATGCACAGACAGCCTGACAGCAAGGCTGTGCTGCAGTAGCAGTGTGTTTTGTGGCTTTTGGCTACATTTCCTTGAAGTATGTCCTTTTTAATGGCAAGCTTGATAGAAAAAGCCTTCAATTGCTTGGGCCTAAGATAACTAAAGGACTATATTACTCTCCAAAAAGGCAAAGTAGTTAAAAAAAGTAATCGTGCTGTTAAGCAGATTGGGAAAAACCATTGCAAAGGATTGTGATGCCACTGTGCAACCTAGAACCTGCTCTTGTCTAAGTTCCCTTTAATTAATGTTAAAAGTTTTTGTAATGTCCAGTAAGTTATTTAAAGCAAACAGAAAGAAATGTATTTTTTATTCTTGTACCTGACTACCTTTTGTGACTGAAACAATTTTTTTATGGGACTTGGAGCTGAAGAGCCAGAAAACAGATTTTCTAAACATCAAGGCAGCAACTTAAGGCCTTGCAGTGTAAACAGGAGTGCAGTTTAAAGAAGTCAATGTTTATAACACTAGTATCTTCTAATAAATTTCCTCCCAGCACAAGTAGAATGATGATTAGACTAGTGACCTAGAAGATACTGGATACAAAGTTTAAAAAGAATATTGATTGCAGAGGTCTGCAATCTTCACTTTCAGAATGATAATCACCTGTTACTTCACTTGCAGATGGATTGGTAGATGGTTGGTACTTCTGCAAAGAACAGGTGTCTTTGTCAGGTGACATATTTGGGAAGTTAACTTTGAAGTTACTCCTTCAGAAATATACTGGGGCTGAAGGTCCAACCTACAGCCTTGAATAATAGGCAGATTTTCATTGATTATTCAGCAGTTTCTGCAAAGCTGTCTTTTTTCATTTGGTAGGAAAATCACTTCAGCAGGTGAGCAGACTGAAAGAGTAATGAGCAACTCAGTCACAAATCTGAGTCAAAAGTTTAAAGATGAAACCTGAAGTTATCTCTAACTGTAATAATTCAGACGGTATTTAACACAGATACTTGAAAAAAACTATAGTTGTGCTGTAATTACCCAAATTCTTGATGCAGTTGTTAATAACCAGAATATACTGTTTCTAATTCTTGTAAGAGGAACAAAGCCTGCTCAAGCAGTGAAATGCAATGCCTTACACATAACTATGGAGCATCAGACAGACAATAAAGGGGATTTAAAATAAACCATTATGGTAGCTGAGCACATATAAAAATAGTATCTTTATTGTGACTTTTAAAAATTTACCTGACAAGTGTTATTTCTTAGGAATAAATATCAACAGGTGAGAGTATCTCTGCTGAGCCTGCAATTTCATGTTTCTTGCAGTAGCAGCGCTGTCATAACCAACTTCTCTGGCTGCTTGTTCCCTGCCCTACACCACCCCTTCCTTCTGGGCAGTACACCGGCTTCACAAGGCCACTGCTCACCAGATGAGGGACCTGCCCAAGTGGGAGCCACTGCTTCCCGTTCTCTTCACGCTGAATGTTGCCAGCAGCAACACTGGCTTCAGTAAGCCTCCTCCCTGCTCTTTTCTGCCCTGGTACAACCTGTGAGTTCTCTGAAGCCCTCTGCAGAATTAAAACAGGGAACAGATTTGACAGGAAACCAGCATTTTTTTAAGACTTTTTTTCAGTGGAGTCAGTTCACTTGAGCCCATTCAACATGTAACTGAGCAAACATGTTTTCCAAACATGTTCTTCCGAAGTGGAAAAGGAGAAACGAGAGCAGGAATATGGTAAAGATTCTGCTGAATGTCTCAAAAAAATGGTGTGGCCATGTGCACCCTTTTGATACAACCAGCCACCTGGGGAGTTAAGCTGAACTGCTGTATTCTGCACTGGAGCAGAGCTGGAGCACTGAAAAACAAGAGCATCTGACTAAGTAGTAACCAAAAGTTGAGGTGGCAGCACCTTTAGTAGCTGTAGTCATTTTGGAAATGAACTTCTGATTATCCCCTAAACAACAGCTACCTCAAAAGCTGACCTTACCCTGAATTAGGAAAGATTTATTCTTTTTTTTCCTGCTCTGAGAGCACTTCAGTCTGAGTGAGATTAAATCAAAAAACACATTTGAAGAAATTACATTGGTAAATGAAGATCCTAAAAAAGTTTTTAAATGGGCAACTAAAATAATTTTGTAAGATGTTACTATTTTACCTGAAAACACTTATATATTTTGAAGTAAAATAAACTGATTTTAGATCTATTACCCTAATACAAGAGAGATAATAAACTCAACATCACTCACAATAAACCTGACAGTAATTGTCATGTTATAATAAACTGAAAAAAATAATACATAGTGACTCTTTGTGCCAAATCCCCTCCTTTAAGCTCTAGTAAGCTATTTGTTCATATGCATGACAGAGGCTTTAGTCTGATGCACAGAATACATTGCTTGACTTTTAAACTGATTCAGTAAGAACTCTTCCAGGAAGACTGAAAGCCAACAATCTTTCACCTTCAACTCAATAAATCGTATCCCATTTAATTCAGTTTTTATTCAATGAAATGATGTATAAAAACTTACAAATCTGAGAACTTAACTATACACAAAAAAGATATTCAGTTTAAACGTATACACAGAGAAGAGCTGTGGTTTGTGACTTGCCCTCTCCCGCCCCTCCCCCCAAAACGCACACCGTCTCAGTTAATGATGGGGCACTTGTTCTGTCCGCTTAAGCCTTCTCTTGGCCCCGGTAATTGCTCCGTGGGTTTCACTGCTGCTGTCAGTTTAGGTTTTTAGGCTACCAGCAAAAAAAATCCGGGCATCTATATAAAAGATTAGGAACCAGCAACTTGATTTTTAACACAAAGATGCAGTGCTACACCATCAGCTAAAACAAAAACTACAGAATTCATTCTCTCAGTTTTTGCAGACTTTGTCTTGGCTTTGAAAATAACGGGATACTCACAGAGCAGAATTTGCCTGTCAGCACTACAGATTCACTTTAAAACAATCATGATCCCCTGTTGCTAGAACATCTCTGACCACTTTTTCTTCCTCTTAACTCACGCCATTAGACCAAATGAAGCCATGGACATTTCTTGCCTGAGAGAGGCAATAAAGCTGTTCTCTCTCCTTTCATCCAGAATGACTCAAACCTACAGCTAACACCACATGCACTTGCTGCGCTGATGATGCCACAGTGCTCACCACTACAACATTTCTCTAGTTTCCTTTGTAGCTTGGGTGACACCACTTACTTATTAGCTTCTCTTCAACAGGCAAATAAGAATGCACACAGCTTAGGATGTTTTAAATTTGATTAAAAATAACCTGTGCAATGACTAGTTTTGTTGAACAACTAAGACTTTCTGGGCTGAATCTGAGAAGAGACAGCCAGTTACTTAAGGATGTGTGCATTTATTTACCTGTACCAAATACACACACAAACACTTTCTATATATATATATATATATAAAATCTTTATACATATAAGGGATTTATATATATATATATATATAAAGATTGCCATCACATTATTATTACAGCTACTTAAGAATCTGAGAAGAGACAGCCAGTTACTTAAGGATGTGTGCATTTATTTACCTGTACCAAATACACACACAAACACTTTCTATATATATATATATATAAAATCTTTATACATATAAGGGATTTATATATATATATATATATAAAGATTGCCATCACATTATTATTACAGCTACTTAAGTCAAAATTTGACTAAGTAACTACTTCACTTGACTCACTGATGCTATCTGAAACATACCCAAAGGCATACTTGACAGAAAACATACAGGTAGAAGAAACCAAAACCCTCAGCTCTTTTTAACTCAATGAATAGAGATTTTTGCATTCATTCAGAAAAGTTCTGAGAGTTTTCAGTTATAATCTTAATCAACTTGCATGTGGACTTCTAAAGAGCATGGTATTTGTCAGATCTTCTTGAAATGCCTTTTACCGGGGAAACTAATATATATATACACATATATATATTTTCCTTGCTTACCAAACTGATACTCTGTTTCTCATTACACTCATCATTGTATCTAAATACACTTTTAAGAAATCTAAATTTTATTTAAAATCTATTAAATTTGGATTAACTAATACTATCAACATAGTTAGCTGGATTATTTTTTCACGCTTTCCTTTGTATTAAAATCAATTACATTTTGGTTTGATGCAAGAGCTTTCTGTTTGTTGTGGTGGGAGAGGCAAAGTCCAATTTCCTAACGTGCCAGTACAGTTCAGGTTGCTGAAGACAAAGGGTGGGAAGGAGGCTGGTGGAAAAGATGGCAGGGATAAGTGAGGTAAGAGGTTTGGGGAGGAAAAAATCGATTTAATAAAAAATGAGTAAAGAAACTTTAAAAAATTTATATAGGTTTCACATTCAGTCTAACAACACTGCTTCCTGCTCCTTTTTGATGGAGGCTAACACTGCATTATCAGTCTCTGTGGCTTCTGTGTCCCCACTACCTAGCAGAATGGAGCGATCTTCTTCTAGCGTAAAGACAGAGTTTTGATTTTGGCACGAATGTTTGACTACTTCATTGGGAGTTGAAAACGTTTTGTCACACAAGTTACATTTGTAGGGCTTGTTGGTCTGTACTAGCATGTTGTCCATTTGACTGCCTTCCTCAAAAGTACAGAGTTCCAGAGTCTGTTTGTCCACCATGGTGTACGTGTCCATGCTCTGGTTTAGGCACACATGTCTGGCAGCCTGGTTAGCCCTACAAAAGCTTTTGTCACAAGTGCTGCACTTGAAGGGCTTACCAGTGTGTATGTACATGTGCTCCCTCCAGTGGCTTTTCTGAATAAATTTGCGACCACAGATGGAACACTCGTATTTCCGTCTTTTTACTTCCCTCTCTTGATCTGCCTGCTCCAAGTTGTCTATGTCTGCAATATCGGAGGGGGGTGGTGTCTCTGACTGCTGCTGGCCATCAATTATCGGGGAGTCTGAGATCTGCTGCAGCTCGCTGTCACTAATCATCCCTGCTTCAGGCACTTCCACAGCATCTTTATCAGCTGTGTTGTTACAGAGAGACAAAGACATATTGCTTTCTCCTTGCTGGCTAGACGTGAAGGGAACCCCTGTGTGAATCTGCAGGTGCTCACGCAAACTACTTCGCAAATTGAACCGGCGGCCACAGAGGTGGCAGGCATAGTATTTTGGGAAGCTTCCATTCCTTTTCATAATGCTTGGCTTGACGTGTGCTATTGTGAGTGGGGCAGGTTGTTCATCTGAAGAAGATGCTTCCATGTTGGCCTCTTCTCCTGCAGGTGAGTTATTACCAGCAGCAGACACCAATTCTGGAGATAAAGAAGATGGCAATGGGTCAGAAGTGGACATATTTGTCCTGGTCACTTGCGGCAGAGTGGTAGCTAACTGCGAGAGCTGTGAACCTTCAGAAACCTGCTCTTGGTTCATCCGTGATGTCTGTGGTCTTGGTTCTCGCCCGAGTTTGTCAGTTGCTGATGTAACCTTAGTGGGATGTCTTATCTGGTGATCTGCGATCTGAATGCCATATAATGAAGATGCTAATGGAAAAACTTGATCCGGGTGAGAAAAAGTTCCCTGACTTGCAAGGCTGGCCTCTTGAATTAGTGGATATGCATGCAGAAACTTTATTCCCTGTTCTAGTCGAACTGGGTCAATGAGTTGTGGTGCCATCTTCCCAGTGTACATCAAATGCAAGAGATAACTGAAGATATCTGGCTGTATGTCAGTCGCTTTCAAACGGACACATTCACTGAAAGGTAAAGCAAAATGATCAATTAAAGATAAGGATTTTTTTTTTTTAACCAGATTTAGGTTATTCAAGCATTGGTAAAAATCACAGGCATCTACTTAAATTCAAAAGACAGAATATGCAATAGAGAAATGCTTTAATGTAAAAGAGCTAATCTTATTGGCTACTTGAAAGATGACCTTTTTTTTCCTCAGGAAAGTAATTGTCTTGAAAGACAAAGCCATCCCATTGCAATCCATATCCTTCTACATTGCTGTCATGTTACAGATTCATTGTCACATGTTAATAAATTTTGTAAATGGCAAAGATATTTTGGTTGGATTCAAATACTAAATTAGCTAATTTAGTACCTAATTGTAGCTACTGTAGCTAAATTAAAACCTGCTAGCACTGGAATCTAATTCAGAGTCGATCAAACTTTTCTCAGTACTTAGCTCTGGAAACACCTACAATTCACCTGGCACTTGCCTGTTTGGCTTAACACTGTTTGCTGCTACAGTTCTGCAAATGTGTGGCATCTTGTTCTCAACTGCATTACCAACCAGAAACTGCGCAGGACTGGGTGTGAATCCCCTGAGGACCTGATGCAACAGGCCTAGTCTGGGCACATCTAACGTGTGGAGGCCTGGCTCCTTACAAAACAGAACAGTGGCTTCCTTCTTTCAATAGGGAGGAAGAAACAGTAGCACCCATGGTGCACCCAGTCAGCCTAATAGTCTCTTGGTTGAAGTGCTCAACAATGGGAGACACTTTGGCTGTGATGCCCTCTTTAGCCTAACAGGACTGAAACCAACACCATCCTCTAGCTGAGAGCATTCCCTATGCATCAATCAGCCTTTAGGATACTCTGGACTCAAACACCCACTGCTCCTCCGGTTGAAGCTGGATCTCTGTGTAGAAAGAGAGACAAGGTTCACAGAAGAAGAAAGAAAATCGGGAACATCTTGGTTAGGCCAGTTAGCAAACAAGAGATGATTTGGGATTCTAATAGTTTTTAAGAGTTATCTGCAGCTCTTTCGCTAAACAAACAGTAAATAAGAAAGTCAGAAATGGACATGACTGTGCACTGCAATCTGAATGCTCCACCCACAGTAGGCTACCAAGCTGAGGAGGAAATTACAGCCAGTTCTTCCATTTCTTAAGGTGCACCCTTCTTGAGCTCATGCTGAATGATTTTGAATTCAGATATATTACTCAAAAGTAAACCTTGCAATGCTGTCTTTCAGAGATGACTGTGTGCTCTTGATGGAGCATCAAGACCGATACATCTGCCTGCTGTCCTGTCTCAGAAGTGCAAATGCATTTCTATCCTTGGTGTTTACTTTTGGCTAAGAACTCCTAGGCAAAGAGTTTCACTCACTTAACATAAACTTTTTCAGATAGTACAAATAATTGGGAATAAGACTAAAACAATCTCTAAAACAGTCTTAGAGTTTTGTTATCTTTTCAATGCCCCCCGTTTAAGGCTGGCCACAAAAAAACCAAAAGGAATAAACACAAACTCTTTTACTCCACTATGTAGTATTTTATTATTTACCTGACTTCAGTGTAAACTGTAAAAAAAAATGAAACATATTAACCTCTTTTATAAGTCCATTCCTCCTAGCAAATACTTATTGGGTTGTCTACAATATTATGGAAATGTCAAGAATAGCACCAAGACAGTGGAGAGGATAGTGAGTGGGGGAAGGAAATAGCAAGAGTGACAGGACCTTTAAATATTCAATTCTATGATTCTATCAGGTTTTTAAGGATAAGGAGCTTGAGCTAAATTATAACAGTTTTGATGAATCACAGTTCAACTTTAACATGCTTTAAATTGAGATTCTAGTTTGCAGATAAGACTGGATTCCATATTCCTTATGACATAGCAAGAAGCAAAAAGAACATTTTCTGGTTTCAGAATGTTGCCAGACCTCCTTACCTAAGCTAACTGAACAACACTTAAACAGCAAACCTTTTTATAGTTACCTGGTTTGATGAACAAACAACATCTTGAAGTAGTTGGAGAAAGAAGCAAGGACCGATTTGTGTGCCTTGAAGTAGACATCACCAATAGCAACTGTGCAGTCACAGAGGAAACCGAACTCTCTCTGAGCATTTAGTTGCTGCAGCAGAATAAGTCCATGGTTGGCCAAATCCATTTTTTTAATCTCTGAAAAGCAAATTACTTCCATGTAAAACTCAACAGTAGTTGCATAGATGCAACAGTAGACATCTCTTAACAGGCATTTTCCTCTAATATCCATATATCATGTTTCAGTAACACCTCTCAATCCAAGTTACTGCATAAATGGTATTTACGCCTAGGCAAGGATCTGTTTCATGATGAGCAATGTGGTTTACAAAGACACAAGTGATTTGCTGAGGCTTAAAGAGCAAAGCAGAGCCAGGACTAGAATTCTGAAAAGGGAAAGGGGGGGATTTGAATACAGAAACGTAAATAGCTAAAGGAGAGGAAGAAATATTAATAAATAGTAAAAACGTCTACATGTAATGGGAAGAGCAAAGTATTTTGGCTACCACTTGTCTGTTCAAACAGGAAAAATAGATCTTCCTTCTGGTACCAGGCACCCTCACTGAAGTGGGTGGGAGAGACAAGAGCAGGACTCAATGAAAGTAAAGTTAGATTACTTCTATGTAAAAGATATATAGAGACACTGAAAATTCAGGTTAAAAGTGTGTGCCATCTAGCTGAATACAAACCCAACATTAAACAATTAAGCATTTCTGATGGTTATGCCCTCTCCTGAGAAATACCAGATACAAACCTGAGTCTTCCCAGACTGAAACAATTAATTTATCCTAGGTATTGGCAAGCCCTCTGGACCATCAGAACAGGAGGAACCAAGCTTTTCTCTCAGCAACAATTTGTTGATTTATTTAGATCAGCTATAACAGCATTTTGTAAGGAGCCTGTGTGACAGAGTGCCTCACGCTCACTTAGCAAACCAAGGAACCTGAGGGGCAAGAGGTGCAGTTCTATTCATTGCTGGCCACGGGTACAGGGTAGGAAAACTTAAGGTGAAATATGGCACAAACCTGAGCACCCCTAAATCAGAACTTCTGCAGCCCCTCCCCCTCCTGCACTTCTTCCAACCGGCTGCTGGAAGCTGCCCTCAAAGGACTACCTGAGAGTTATACATTTATTCTCAGGAATTTGGGGGCAGCCTTGGAAGCAACAATTGATAACTTTGGGGAAAAAAATACCCAGGGGAACACATTAGGGCAGTTGCATATGGTTGGATGGATAAGTATACGGCTAGTAAGATCAACAAGTGGGTATAATCTAACACAAATAGAGCTTTGGGCAGAAAAAGTGAAGGTATGAAGTAATGTAGGTCTGTATGTAGAGACGTAAAACAGCAAGAGAAGTCAACAAAGTATGTCCAGAACAATGTAGATGCTCTATGAACAGAAAAGAAAGAGAAAGTGAAACCAGAAGTAGATCAAAAGTGGTAGACCTATAAAAAGTCTTGGGTTTTTTTCCTTCAAAATTTAATAGGAAGATATAGAAATTTTAGGTAAGGTATGAACAGCTTGTTTCTTCTACACAGTAAGTGTGTGGCTTTTCTGGAAAAAGAAAGACAGTGTATTACACATATGCCAATACATTTAGTCATTGGAGAAGCAAGTATTTCTACTTGCTGGAAAGTGAAGAATACACTTGTATTTAAACCAATAACCGGGTTGACCAAGTGCATTTCTTTGCATTAATGAGATCAGAATTTGTTTGTGTCAGGGGTGTAAGGGCAAATAAATATATACAATTTAAGATACAGTTGATTTTTTTCTTACAGTGAATGAGAGAAAAAAATCAGATTCCCACTCTCTGCAGGGCCATCCTCTCCTTCCAAAATGACTGTTTGGATAATTATGTTTGTATAGATGTGCTAAAATTCTCTCCAAAAGAGAGAATACTTGCTGTCAGCAATAATAAACATTGTATTTGTTGTTATTTAATCCCGCAAGATGCTCCGTGCAGGCAGACTTTGTGATGTTACAGAAAGCACATTAGATTATCTTTTTTTCTAAGCTTTCATTTATATTATTCTGTATGTGCAATATTTTTTAATTAATCACTGTTGAGTCTGGGTTGTACTTAGGCAGCAAAGCCTATCAGGTGGAGTGAACCATTGATTCAGGGAACTCCAAGCCAGTAAGGCATTATTTCTAGTTATTATAACCCAACATGTATGTATAGTTTCACCCTTATCCACACAGCAGTCACGGTGGCAGCTGAAGCTGTTATCAGAGAGCTGAGTTCTTCTTTTCACAAAATTATATGGTGTGCACACACATGCACAACACAAAATTTTTGTGTGTATTTTAAAAAAGTTAATGCTTTGAACTGAAAGCATTAGAAGAATCGCACTTCCGAAGAAATGACAGGGCAGTGATAAAGAGGATGGAAAGTGCTTCTGCCTCATTTACGTAGAGCACTACGTTACAGGTTTGCATTCGCTCAGGAGCTTTACTCTTAGCTAAATAAAACGCTGTGATTAACACCAGCAAGGCTGCGCTTCAGCGCTGACCGATGAAACAACTGTGTGAAGTAACTTCTGGTGCCCTGAAACCCTGCAGGGACAGTCCTCCCACCGCAGGCTGACGGGCTGGCCTGGCTCAGCTTGGTCTCAACTTTCGACATCACCCAATTATCTCAACATCGGAGGAAGGACCAGGGGAGCCCGAGCCCTTTCGGAAAACGTACGTTCATTTCGGAGGCCGCGAAAGGAAAAGTGGTGGGTACGAGCCA